TATTTTGTTATAAAATGCAAAGACATTCATACATTAAATGTGACTTAAGCATTCAGTCAGTCACTTTTTGTGACCACTGCATGTGAAGTAAATAAAACGCCCTTAATGTGTTTCACTGAAACCGCTATCGGACATGCTGACACAGTAGTAGATCTCCCAGTGTTTCAGTGGTTAATTCCTCTGTTACTCCCCAGGGACTGATGGCATTAAGGAGAAGGATCTAACTCATTCTCTGATACGGAGGACTCAGCACCGAACGACTTTGTGGCCCAGCTATAAAATGTGATCGATCCACTAAAAGACTTTGACTCTTTGCAGTTCAGAGGCATGTGGTGTAAGACACTCCAAGGTGCTACGCTGCGGTGGTGCATTGGTTAGCTCAGTGTTTACCAGAGAACAGTATTTTGGAACGGTTGGGAAATACTGTGTCAAATCTGGTGCGCAGCAACACACTGCTCTACTTTAACTTGTTGACTGGCAGCAGGCAGGAGACCACTGCGTTACATAAGTCGTCTACGCTCATGGCAGAGCCTGTCTTTACATGTCCCCTCTATAAATGTTTATAAATATGCCTTTATAAACACCCATGCAGACACGCTCAGGGGCAAAACACTTGGCATGGAGCATTGGCGGAAACTACAGAAATGAGGTCACTATGACAGGCAGGGGGTTAACATCCAGTGTGTGTGTTTATACGGTTAGCTTTGGATTTTTTTTTTTTTTTTTTCAGTGTTTCAAGAAAAGGGTTTGCAGGTACTCTCTAAGAGCAAGGGTTAGTCGTGAATTCTGGTTATGTGACAGCAGAGAGAGCAGCCTTTGCCACTGGAGCTGTTATGTAACACACACACACTGTAACACAGTGCAGGAGGGGTGAGCAAGTCTCTGTTGCCCGGCTGTCTAGAAAGACAGATGTACAGAGAGGGAAAGGACAGTCAAACTTAATGAAAAATAGTTTTTTTTTTTTTTGATTTATCTGATGAGGAGATCCTCAAAATATTTCGTTTGAATCCATACTTCAGTTTTAGTGGTTGCCACAAGACGTGGAGAAAGAAAGCTTGAGAGCACTATAATAAGCTATTATAGCCTATCAAGTTTATTGTTCGTTAACTGTCATATTTGCTTGTGGGTTGTAGTTGGTCCACTTGCCATGATATTCTTCTCTCTATCTACCTACATATTCAGATACACACACACACTGAGGCTGGCAGGACTGAATACAAGCAGACGAACTGTTGTGGGGGCTGTACAGTGTTTGTGGATGGAGTGGGCGTCTGCCACGCGTCTCATCTCTCTCTTTCTTTCCCTCTCGCTCATTCTCAGACCTTGCCTCCCACTGTCTCTATCACTGCCTGTCACTAAAACAAGTGTTAGTGTGGCACACTGCTCATCTCAGTCCCCATGACAAAACACTGACTCACTCAACTGACTCTGCTAAAAGCTTCATGAGACACCATGTCTCTGGTATCATTGCTTTTATTATACACATTTTTTGTTGTGTTTGTGTGTGTCACAAAAGGAAACTGTATACTTGGTTTGTAGACATTCTCACCAAGTTTTCCTGAAAAAATTTAAATTCTGTCATCATTTAATCACCCTCAATTAGGTGTCAAACATCAAATTTTCATTTTTGGGTGAACTATCCCTTTAAATCATGTAAGAATTTCTTTCTTCTGTGGATCAAACTTTTTTTTGTTTGTTTAATGAATATCAGTTATATTACACTTCTGTTCTGTTCTTTTACTCAACAAAGCTGCATTTACTTGATTTTTACAATTTAGAATAATTAAAAGAGTTAAAGAGTGTGTTCCCAAAAATACACCAACACAGAGACTTTCCAACTCGGGGAAACAACATTCTAGACTTTGTTTACACCACACAGAGAGGAGCTTACAAGGCCCTCCCCCTCCCCCACCTCGGTGCCTCAGACCACATCACTGTCA